GTAGGCCGCAGCAGGACGTTCATCAGTTAGGAATGTTATCACCACTTGCGGATGAAAATTGTGCGTGGTGTAGGTATTTCACCGGAGTCCGGGTCGGCCTTTGGCCCAAGAGACTTGGCAGCCACTAGTGGCCACTGCTAGGCTACTGTTTCTCCCAATTTGTTTGCCCTTCCTACTATAGGTGTTAGTAGCTCCCACCTGAACCAGTTGGGCCTAACACTCTTGTCTTCTGCTTCCTTACTTCGTTGATTCCCTCGCCGGCTCCTCCTCAACACAACTCCTGCCTCAACAATTCGCCCTCCAAGGAACCGATACAGAAATGGATTTCATCCACATTGTTCTCCGGGTCTCTCACCATTCTCCTACCCTCTCGCCCCATACTTCTAGCTATTAGACGACGTTACCAGCAGAGATGAAGTTTACCCTTCTGAGTGCTTAATATGCGCCTCCGAGTTCTCGAAATGTGCCACATCCATGCCCAAAAACAACCTTTTTTTCCCACGGCGCTCCAGCAAAACTATCCCTTCTGAGCTAGCCCAGAAATATCCACAAAAGATAAGCCACTTTACAGCTCTAAGCGCGCAAGCTTCCGACAGCATGCCGCCTGTGTCCTTCCACCCAAAGCACACACAGCCCCGAACACATTTGGAGCTGGAAGATCCCACCCATTATCTCCCTTCAATATCTCACATGCGCAGACTTCCCAATCCAACACTCTCCGAAGCGCATTCTATTGATTCATTGTGATGCGGTCCCAATACTGCTTGCCCACCCCATAATGGTTTCTTGCGGACATTCATAAGAGATCATCATGCTTTCCTTACTCACCAACCTCTAAAAGATGTCTGTTCTTCCTTTCCCGCTACCCCATTCTGCAGCTGCCGTGTATTAGGCGGACCAGGTTGTCTCGTCGCTGCATTATTCCTTGACGCTGACAAATATTCTCCCAAAAGGCCTCTGTGTGGTATATTCGCCCTATTATCTGGACCTCCAATACTTGTCCACCACTGCCTCGGTATATGAGTCTGCGACCACCTCCTATGAAAATTTTGAAGCCACCCAAACACATCCACATCTTATCCTTTTATCCAGGTATAACAAGTAAACACGAGAGAGAAGCAATCAATAAAGGTAACAAAAATACTTGTATCCATTCATAGAACTTGTGGAACCAAGGCCCCCAAACATGCTAGAATGTACTAAGTCAAATGCATAGACTTCCTTATGACCAGAAACTACAAACATAAGAGCTTTCCTTAGTAAGCTTTTCCAAACTCACATGCCCATCCACCACACAAGTTTTTGCTTTATTTGCTTTCTTCAAATAAAGAAGGCATACAATCTTACCCCTAAAACACTAAAATGATGAGTGTCCCAAACCGCTGCGTGATGAAGCATTAAACTGCATTTTTTCAGCACTCCATTTTATATTCCTACTCCTGCTTCCTCCTATGACTGATACCAATGCTGAATCCAGCCCTTCACGCATCCAGCATACCACAGTCCACTACGCATGCTGCAGCTCAAGTCTCCCGTCCTGCTTCCCCTTCTCTGCCGCAAAATCACATTGGGCGAATATCAAAGAAACCGATGCACTTTAGTTGTCGAGGATGCATAGCAACTACATGACAAAAGCATTGACTGCGAAAGGAAAGGGAGCCATGGCAAAACATTGGACAAAGCTTACAAACCCAGCTACCAATCCAACTGTACCCTTACCCAACCACAGGCCTGAAATGTACCCTACAGCTGTTTGTGTAATACTATCAGGCCCGATGCTAAGTAGTATATGATGCAGCAACTCCCACTAAGCATTTCCTGTCACTTCATGCACCCCCGAGACGCACCGCCGAGCCGACTATCCCATGCTGCTGTAATGATCTGGTCAGGAGACCATAGAGCAAGGGAGCATGTACTGTCATCAGTACCTTTCGTCGGCATGAAGCATAGGTAGCAGTGATTGCCTCTGCCGCGAAAGAATGAAGTGGCCATGCCTCCTCAGCTTTCCCATCCCCTTGCCTACTTGCTTTGCCCCTTCTTCCTTTCAGTATCGCCAGGAGGAGCACCATCCCTCCTCCAGCTAAAGACCACCCCTCCATGCTCCTCTTCCTCTGCTACAGGTCAATTTGGCCCCCCGGTTTCCTGCCTCCTCTCTCCACCTCGTCAGAACCCCACCGCGCCACGACCACGACCCTCCCGAACTGCTCCACGGTCCACCGAATTCTCCTTCCTTGATGGCCTTAGGTGCAAGCATGCCTTAGATGACCTACCGGCCACCCGCCAGTTGCTCAACACTGCGGCGTCTCTCCCCTAGATCCCAGTGTTCGTTAGAGGCTGCCAGTGCTGCCTTCCACCACAGGAATTCACCCGTCCCCCCGCCTACCAGCCGAATGCGAGTCTCTCCCTCGAACCTTCATAAGCCAGAGCACAGCCTCCTCAAGCGTCGGGAATCCTTCAGGCTGAGCTAGCCACGCAATGCCGCATCGTCTGAGCGAACTCTGATGTCAATGCCTTCAGCAAACATCCATAGTCCCTCTTGTCGAGAAAGACCTACTCGCTCTTTACATCCGCGGTCCTCTGCCCAGCTAGCCCGAGCGGAGAAAAGTGTCATATCCAGCCACAGCGCCCGCTACCGAGCTCTGTAGCCATTATTCCTGTACAGTCCTCCTCTCCCTGAGACCTGTGGCATCGATCTCTCCTTTAATCTGGAATACCCTCAGGTTAATTCCCCACTCCGATCATATGTTCCTCCTCAAACTTCTCCCAGACGTTCCTTCACCCTTCTCACATTGCCATCCACGTGGCCGGGCGATCGCGTCGGAACCCAACCGAGTTAAGTCAGCCCAGATGTATACCAACATATGAGCTGGCCCTTCCACTCATCTCTTCCCTCCGGAGTCCCCTCTCCGGTCATACTATCACCTCTCCTTGTCAGGATAACCCTTCCAGATTTCTACCCTGCTAAGCGCGTGCTATTCTCACCCGCCCGACCAGCCTCAGGTAAGTTACCTCGCCCATCAAGTTTCAGGATCCGATGCGTCTGGAAGCCTCCAACATCTCTTCGATGCGTCTTTGTCGCCTCGCCCCTCACCAAGCCCGACATACTTCGATTAGCTTCATCCAAAGCTTTGCATACCTCCGCCGGCGTCAACTTCTTTGATGCATCTCCCTCCATCGCAATAGGCTTCAGATTCCACCACTGTTCACTCTTTCTCTTCCAACCCCCTTTGTTGCTGCTGCAGCTGAAAAATTTCGCCAGCCCACCCTCCTGCTGCACAACAAGACTTAGGTAACTCAACAATTCTCGTTTTCTCAGAGGAAACAAGAACCCAAAACAGTTAATATCATCTCATCGCATGCTGAGCATATATACCTCTATCCTGTCATCACGTTCGGCAGGACTGCCGCAGTCCGAGGGAATCCCCATGCTATAACCTCGGAAATCGGTTCCCGACACGCCGGCTGATGGCACGGTTCTGCCAGCGTGGTGGGAGTGCCGGCCTCGTCCTGAGAGAAGAGGCACTGACAAGTGCGGCGGGATCGAGGGCACGGGGTCTGGTTGAGACCGGACAGAGAGCGCGGGGGGCGCCGTTCTGGTTGTGCGGACAGCAGAGATGCGGTGAAGGCTCTGTGTCTTCTGTGATCGGAGGAGGGCTTCGGGGGGGTCTGGACGAAGGCGGCAGAAGGGGATTCCTGTGCCAGGGGGTGGGCGGGGATCTGAGGCGGTGCGGGGGGGGATCTGCAGCGCGGTGTGGGGGGTGTCTGCAGGGCTGTCGTCGAGGGACCTTCTGCGAGCGACAAGACCGGGGGGAGCGGCTGCATCGGCGGGCGAGGGAGGGCGCACGTGAGAAGGCAGAGGAGGGGCAGGGGGGCGGGCCTAGGGTTACGGTTTTATTGTGGAGGCGCCTCTGCCATACCGAAATTAGCAATTAGAAAACACTAATTCATATATGATATCCTCTTGGGCTTTATATAGGCCCCTACAAATCTTACAAATAAGTCCCTAATAATACTAATATGTCAACATGCACCAAATGGATTTCAACTATTAGATCGGTGCACGAATATTTAATTCCAATACTCCAATGGTTAATATGTAATTGGTGTGCACTTAATATCATGGACCGGGACCATTTCATATTCTCTCGGTGCGGGTAGTCTCTACAATCAAGAACTATGAGGTGTTTAGTGCCTTTTTAGCTTAGTAATAAACCCTTAAGACCATGTTTAGCAAAATATTAAGGAAGAGGGATTAAAAAGAAATATTAATGTAGTTAGCTCATTCGATAACCCAAAGGACTAGATTATTAATATGTTAAATAAGTTTTATTTTAGCTTGTGCGGTCATTTTTAGTGTTTGGGAATAACAATGATTTTAACTATTTTCTTTATAAATAGAGAGATTAACTCCCAATCCTTCTAAATGGGAGTATTAGCAAATCTATCACTTTTAGGGGTTAACTCATGTTAATCCTCTCAGAGGGGTTAGCTTAACGATTGTGTTTTTATAGCGTTTGACAAATTATAAAATGTTAACTCACTTTAATTATTGTATAAAATTTTGATGTTTGGCTGGTTAAAAAGGGGTTATGTCTCCTTAACCCCTCACTTAACCCGTTGCCAAACTAGCACCCTTTGGCAAGAGTTAAGTGAGAAGTTAATGATACTTAACCCCTTCTTAACCCGCCAAACATAAAAAATTAATACAAGAGTTAAAGTGAGTTAACCCTCCATAATTTGTTAAATATAAAAAGTATAGAAGGGTTAAGCTAACCCTTCTAGAGGGATTAAAACGAGTTAACTCTTCAAAATAAGGGGTTTACTAATATTCATATTTAGAAGGATTAAGAGTTTACCCCTCTAATTATAAAGAAAATAGTTAAAATTCTTGTTATTCCCAAACACTAAAAATGATCACAAGAGCTAAAATAAAACTTATATAATAAGTTAATAATTTAGTCTTTCGGATTAACAAGTAAGTTATCTATGTTAACACTTCTCCGTAATCCCTGTTCCTTAATCCTTTGACAAATGCTCACTTTGGATTTCCTCCACTTCTCTCCACTTCCGGTCCGAGTTCCGATGTGGGCCTGAACAGCCGCCTGAGACCCCAGAACACAGGAACACTCAAAACATGATCACAAAGCAAACCCAGTTCCTCAAATCCAAATTCCTCTCATCTCAGCCCCTAATGAAACTCCAATCTCAGCTTACACCCTCTTCACAAATCACCACCGACACCCAGTTTCACAGCCTAGGTATCAATTCAGCAAACCAAATGATCACGAGATTCTCAAAGTCCGGTGATCTGAGCTCTGCACAGAAGGTGTTTGATCAAATGCATGAGCGAGACATTGTTTCATGGAATTCAATCATGTCTGCTTATACCCAAAACAACCATTTTGATGAAGCAATAAGAACCTTTTCAGATTTGCACAGATTTGGATTGACCCTCACAAATACTTCTTTTTCGACCGTGCTGACTTCTTGTGCGAAGCTTAGAGCTCTTGATCAAGGAAGACAGGTTCACGGGCTATCGATGAAATTGCGGGCAGTGGGGAATGTTTTTGTGGGCACTTCTTTGATCACAATGTATTCAAAATGCAATGTGGTTGATGGGTTGTGTTGGATTTTTGACAGCATTGATTGTTTGAATGTTCCAGCATGGAATGCTTTGATATCCGGTTATGCATCGAATCGAAGGATTAGGGATGCTCGTGCTGTTTTTGAACGAATGCCGAACCCTAATGTTCTTTCGTGGACTGCAATGGTTAATGGGTATATTGAGGTTAAGGAAGTAAGGACTGCATTAGAGCTATTCAGTTTGATGCCGAACAAGAACGAAGTGACTTGGTCAGTAATTTTAGGAGGATTTGTTGATAACGGGAATTATGAAGAGGCAATTAAATTTTTTACTAGAATGATGTATGAAGGATTTCATGCTAATGGTCCTTGCATTGTCAAGGTTATTAGAGCTTGTTCATCCATGAGGAACCTTAATCATGGTAGTAAAGTTCATGGATGTGTCATTAAATTTGGATTTCATCGTGATGAAATCATTGAGGCCTCTTTGGTTTTCATGTATTGTGAGTGTTCAAGCATTGAGGAAGCAAAATTAGAGTTTGACAAAATGGAGGGTAAGTTCACTGGGTCATGGAACTCTTTGTTATGTGGTTATATCAATAGTAATAGAGTTGATGAAGCTAGGACACTGTTTGATACTATGGATGCAAGAGACAGAGTTTCATGGAACTTGATGGTTAACGGTTATTTGAAATCTAATAGGATTGATGATGCTATTGAGTTGTTTGCTAAGATGCTTGAACCTACAGTGGAATCGATCACCGCTTTGATGTATAGTTTCATACGAAATGGAAGGAAAAGTGAAGCTCAAGAGTTATTGAATATGATGCCTCAAGGAGACATAGTAGCATATACTACTTTGATTTTTGGTTATTTGGAAGAAAGCCAATTAGACAAAGCAATGGAGCTTTTCAATAAGATGCTCAAAAAGAATGTAGTTACTTATAATGTTATGATCTCTGGTTTTCTCCTTCATGGTAAGGTAACCGAAGCTTATGAGCTCTTCAGCAATTGCCATGACAAGGATTCTATAACTTGGAGTGCTTTAATTGCTGGTTTTGTCCAAAATGGTTTAAATGAAGACGCAATCCAACTCTATAAGCAGATGCTATTGACCGGCATAAAACCTAGTGAGTCAGTTATAACTAGTCTTCTCAGATCATCTTCAAATCTTTCCATAACGATCCTTGGAGAACAACTTCATTCTGTTGCCATCAAGTTAGCGCTCAAAAAGTTCTTGGTGATTGGTAATTCACTGATAAATATGTATAGTAAATGTGGGGACATGTACGTAGCTAAACTTGTTTTTGATCAGATGGTAGATAGAGATATTGTAAGTTGGAACTCGATAATTTATGGTTATGCACTACATAGTCTCGGGAAGGAAGCCATTGAGATGTTCAATATTATGAAGAGGTCGGCAATTGTACCTGATGAGATCACATTTCTTGGCCTTCTGTCTGCGTGTAATCATAACCGTCTACTTGAAGAAGCACAATGTTACTTCAAGTCCATGAGTGATTATGGCATACTACCTAAATTACCCCATTATGCATGTATGATTGATCTTTTTTGTCGAATAGGAATGGTTGAGAAAGCTGGAGAATTAGCTTCTTCAATGCCATATGAGCCTGACTCTGTTGTATGGACTTCACTTTTGAGTGGATGCAGATTAAATGGCAATGTTGAATTAGCTCAGCATGCAGCTAATCAACTTTTGGAATGGGATCCAATGGATCATATGCCATATTTGCATCTTATCTATGTATATGGATCAGCTGGTAAATGGGACACTGTGGAAGATATGAGAAATCAGTTAGTTAAATTTGGATCGAAGAAGCAACCTGGCTGCAGCTGGATTTAGATTTCGACATTTGGTGAGATTTTTAAAAGTATATTTGAGAATCGGTTAGATAAATTAGAGTCAAATACACCGGATTAAAGTGCAAGCGTTGCTAGTATATCTGTAGTTGGTGTTTATGTAGAAACCGGTGAAACCAGCTACATATCATAATTTTAAAATCTTAGAGCCGGATTTCTCTTTCTGAGAACTGACTATGTTATCATAATGCCTAAACAGCAGTTCTTCTTTTAATTGAGTAACTTTTATGGTAATGTCGACCTTATCAAATATATGCCAAGTTCATTTATCTCATCATGTATAGAGAGGCGGAACCGCCCGATATTTGGATGCTAAGTATTAAGACATTTTTCAGAGAGGCAATAGCTGTACTCTCTTGGTTTGGAAACAGATTGGATTTAACAAACAACCTATTGAATGGGCAGGTTAGTCTTCAGTCCAGAAATTCCTCAGGACTTTCAAGAAATTTTGTTTGATGATGCTACGGGAGTACTTCGTATAAGAGAATTATAGTTTATCTTTGCTCTAACTGTGATAAAACTTTAAAGTGAGTCACTGGAGTATTGAAAGAAATATTATTAACATATCACTTATGCTGGTTTTCTTTTACAATGCAGATGTTTGCGAGGAAACCACAATACCACATTTTCAAAGACACAGAAAATCCAAGGCTCATGGATAAGAAGACTGAGAGGTCACTCGGAGGTTTGTTGTTCTATGCATCTTAAAGAAATGAAAAACCCCTCTCTTGCAAAATTATAGAAGATATTCTTTAAGATCACATAATTCCATTGAATGGGGTATGACTGTTGCCATCTATTATGTTGATTATATCAATGAACCCAATTCCTGCAGTTTCTCAGGATGCCCGCTTTTATCTTCTTAGCCTATTTCTTAGTTTGAGATCCCTCTTACTACTTGGAGTCGAAGAACTAGTAGAGCTATTCCGCCCAAAATGGGCTTGGCTTACTAACTTGGAAGCCTTGGAAAGTTTTCATTCTTCTCTTTTAAGATGTCAAAATGTAAACATAAAAAAGAAATATCGGCAATGATGACTAGTATGTCTTATCTTATTTATGTAAGTTGTGAAGTGGATACCTTCTAATGACATTTATTCTCAAATAAAAGAAAACATAAAGTTGAAGCTGGTTCGGAAATACAATTCAATCTTTCTGTAAACGTAGTTGTTAGAGCTCAGCTATTGTATTTCACATTGGAATGAACTTTGGGTACATTTTAATCGAAGGGAGTATTTATAACTTATAAGCTATCGACTCCATGTTTAGGTTGTTCTGACCTGTGAGGGTGCTGATCTTAATGTCCCACTGCTGACAACTATCAGCAGTATTTTAATTTTCCTGCCATTCGCAGAAAGATCGAGGGAGATTAGAGTGAGTTTCTGATTCAAATTGATAACTCATAATAAACTATCAATATTGCGCTTAGTTTTTCCTTGATCGTTTTGTCACAGAGTTCTGGTAGAATTTCTATTCCTGACAATAGTAGTGGTTGTTTAAGAGAAAGATGGAAGAAGTATTTGAATAATATAATAACAATGTACAGAGACACAATCGAGGTTGCCTCAGGTATTAATTCCTCAATCCCTATTTCTCAATATGGAAATTTTTTGAATGCTTATAGAGAAGGTTTACTTTGTTTACAAACAATTTGTGGCTCAAAATCAGCATAAAATAAGAAAAATTAATATGATCAAACTTGTATAAACAATATAGTAATTCATTCAGGAAGTGTTAAGTATAATATTTAGTTACAACCCCATTTCCTTGGGCTGTTTGTGGCACTAAAGAAATGTGAGGGAATGAACAGTATGTCCAGAGTTTACATCATAAAAAATTCACATATCTCGTTCAAAAGTTCACATTCACTACATTCTTTACAAACCTTAAGTCTTCAATCACAAAAAATAGCAGGGCTTAGTAAGCAAACAAAAAGCAAATACCAAAGAAAATCAAGTCTTAAAGAAAGCAAAAGAAGAATATACTTTGAAGGCACTATTATAAACTGTATTTTTATATCATAAAGTTATATTGAAATAACACATGTTAGATTGAAATATTGTCATAATTTGAAATAGTGTAGACAACATCGGAGTAACAGAGTTGCGATGTGTTCTTGTTATTTTAAATGTTATATAGAGCTTAAGGTTTGTTAACTTGTATAACGTGAAATAATTAGTTACACAATGCTTTTTTTTCAACATCATTTTTATGATATATTTAAACATTTTATTGTGGTATTTGTTGGTAAATTGGTATAGACTGTCTTAAACTTTTGATTTTTTGTTAATAATATTTGTTGTTATGTTATTAAATCATGTTTCTATTTATTAAAATCAATTAATTATTATGGCCATTTTTATATTTTTTTTTTGTAAATTTAAAAAGCATGTAGCTTATACCATGAGTTATGCTACAGGTGCTTTAAGCTTTCCGCAGCTTATGTTATGTTATATGCAATTGTTATTTTCAACATTGATACAAATGGATATAAGAAATGCATTATGGAGTTCTATAATGTTATAGTTATATTAGAAATAATATATTAGTAGTATAAATTAGACATTTGGCGATTGAGAGATATTAGAAATGTAACTAAGAAAATAATTGTGATTAGGTAATTGTGTTTGGTTGCACATTGACTACACAATAAATTTCTTGTTATTGTATCCTATATAAAGGGGAGTAGTTGTAGCTTTTGAAATATGAATGAGAATCTATGATATTTTATTGTTTAACATGGTATCAGAACCACACAAACCCTAGCCTCCACAAAACCCTAGATCCTCACACACCCTAGTCCTCCAATCCCTAACCATCAACCTTCTCCCTCTACCTTACAACCTCCCTCTTTTCCTATGACTGGTCACTGTGACTGTTCACCGTGAAGAGTATCGTGGTAACTGTTCGCTGAGAATAGTGTCGTGGTGATTGTTTACCGTGAGCAGTGTCACGAATTCTTGTCCATCGTGCTTTTGATGGCCTTGTTGATGATGTGGATTGCCATTATTGATAGCAGTAGTCATCCTCGATGTATATGTTCTCATCACTGCCTGTGCTGCCTCGATTTCCCTTCGTTCACTACCTAATCAACTTGTCGACACCACTGCCACCACCGCTTGAATTCTAGAAACGTTGATCAATATTAGCTACTAGAATTTTTTTAATTGATTAGGGATTTGGTTTGGAGTTTGGTTTAACGAAGGTTATTGTCTCGGCTTCTAAAGATGGATCATTTATATGGCTGATCTCTAAAGAATGATCATTTGTTTGTTAAATCCCGAAGAGGATCGTTTGTTTGGCGGATCTCTAGAGAGGATCGTTTGCTTGGTGGGTCCTTGTAAGGATCGTCTGCTTGGTAGTTCCCAAGTTGATCTATGAAGAAGATCGAGGTATCACCTTTGGTGATTTTGATTGAGGGTATTCGTGGTGGAAGACATAAGTAAAAAACTAAAAAATAAAGACAACTATGAGGAGAAAGGTCACACAGGAGATTTCACTCTTTTAATTCGTGTCATAAATTGGAGTGTATATTGTTTGTAACAGACCAGACATATATGATATACATGCTCCAGCTTGAGGGGGAGTATTAAGGAATACATTATGGAGATCTACAATGTCATAGTTATTTTAGGAATAATATATTAGGAGTATAAATTAATTAGATATTTAGTGATTGAGAGATATTAGGAATGTAACTAAAAGAATAATTGTGATTAGGTAATTGTGTTTAGTCCCACATTGACTGCACAATAAACTTCTTGTTATTATATCCTTATATAAATAGGAGTAATTGTAGCTTTTAAAATACTAGTTGAGATGCACGTGCAATGCACGTAGTTAAATATCTTGATTATTTAAATTGATAAAAATAAAGTAAAAATAAAAAAGAAAATATAGTTTTTTGTGAGATTGATCATCAACTCAATAATCTCTCTCAAATAAAATATTATTATTGTTTTCTTCAACCAAGACTATGACCACATGATCTACTATTTGTGAAGTATAAACATGTTAACCTAGTACAATATCTCTATTTATTAGTATCTTGAAGTCTTTAAAATATGGGTGATCATTCAATTCGCAAATGAATTTTGTATATGAATTTACTTGTAATATGTCTATTAAACTTTTAGTTGTTATTTGACTCATATTCATGTTAACTTTTAGTTGTGGTTTTACTTATATTTATATGTCATGTGCTCTAAATATAAAAATTTATTTTTCTTTGATGCAATGCCCCTATTAAATCTTACTCCAAATAATATGAATAAAAAATGCTATTATAACTCACTTACCTAGGGCGATTGTATTGTATATAGGACATATAATTCATCTGGAATATCCACATCTACTAAGTGAATTTTACCGTTGTGAGAGCAACATGTTAGAGGCTCGTATTCAAACTTTTTGGCTCTATAAAAGACACAAGAATTTGGAGTGCATAGCTTATATATTGTAAAGAGCATATTGGTTCATGAAGAATTTTTCCTAATAATGATAGTATTACAACGATATTACTATTTAGTATTAAATTAATTTTATTATATAAGATTATATGACCATTTTTAATAAATTATAAAGCATATATATGAACACCTTGATGCTTATAGCCAGTAGTTAGGCTCCACAAAATAATTTAACTTTACATTATAGTTTGCTATTTGTAATACTATTGGCAATACTATTACATTTTTTCTTTATTTTATTATTCACGTTTTTCTGATGTAAGTTATCTTTTGCTAATCACTCAATTGGCTATATTTAGTTTTTATAATATCAAATGTTAGAATATTTTTTTCTGTTTAAAAAATGTTAACATGATTTTCTTAAAAAATATATACACATAGTAGCAATAGTATATACTTTAGTTTAACTCAAAAATTAGTTTGAAGCCATTTAGAGCGAGGTTCTTTCTACGCTAGAATGGTGATATAGTGATTACATAGTTCAAAAGTCAAAGAAAAGATTTCTACAAAGGAAAAATAATTTAATATCTCAAATTAACAACTAATTTATAAAATATACATGGATAGTGCAAATAGCTATGAAAAGTAAGGTATATATCTTTATGAAAATTCCATAGTGAGTGATCAACTACAATCATCCGTAAATAATTATTATTTTAGTTACTAAATTGAAATGCGTAACTATGGAATAAATCTCAAGCAAAAAATAGGAATTGAGATTGTATTAATCTATTTGTAAATAAATAAATGTTATTAGAGCTCCTTTTTATATTAAATTTAAAAGCAATAATTTAAATTATTAAGCGTGAAATATTAGCTCATGTGAGAAAGTAAAGTAATCTATGGTCTATATACATATATAGTCAATTAATCTAACGTATTAAAATTATGATGACCACAGTCAAAATTATATGATGGGTTTACATTAAATATAATTTATAAAAATAGTATATTAAAATCAAAATCTTTTTAATCACTATATAGATTTTTTGAAAATATTTACATATATAAACTATACTGCTTAGGAATAGTAATGTGCACACTTAACTATGGCATAATAATATTAAGAACAACTTACTCTTCAAAAGTTTAAAAAAAAAAAAACTACCCTAAAATTTTGTAATTTACAAATACACAAAACTATTAAACATTACATTGAAATCAAGGAATTATAAAAAATTATTAAAAATTTTTAAACTTTAGAGGGGTAATTTGCAATGTACTAAACTTTAAGGTTTTTTTGTAAATGTCAAGTTTAATAGATTTTTAATTAGTTATATTCTTTTCAAAAAAAATTATGGATAATATTGACCATGAAAAGTTTTTCCTAAATCTATACTTTTAAAGGGTGTATGATATTTTTTTTACAAAATTTTAAATTTTTTGGGGTTGTTACTAATTTTGCATAATCATTTTAGTGTCTATAGGTTAGAAATTCTAATTGTGTTTTTTTGTAAATTATGAATTTTAGGGGGTTTTGTAATTTTTTAAACTTATAGGTATTTTCTATAAATTATAAATTGTTTACAGACTATTTATAATTCCTATGCTTTTCAATTTACTAATGAGTTTGAAATTCTCATGGTGTTTTTTTTTAAATTTAAATTTTAAGGGTTTGTTTGTAATGTTTTAAACTTTAAATGTGCTTTCTATAAATTATAAATTATATAGAGGATATTTGTAATTCCTATAGTTTCAATATACTATTAGGTTGGAAATTATCAGAATTTTTATAAATTTTACAATTTGAGAGTTCTATTTTTCAATTTGTAAAAAGTTCAGATTGTTTTATTATAAATTCCATAAATTTTTGGGGGTTGTTTGTGTTATTTGTAGGTTTTTAGTGTGTTTATAGGTTTGAAATTTTCAATGTGTTTTTTATAAATTTTGAATTTTTAGGGGTATTTTTATAATTTGTACAACTTATAAGATATTTTCTCCAAAGTTAAAAACTTTTAATTTCTAGCTAGCATATATTTTTCAGATTTATCACTGAATTGAAATAAGTAAAATTTATAATTTTTAAGATGCTTTAATAAAATTTTAAATTTGTAGGGGTGTTTTTGTAATTTAAAAAATTTGGAGAATATTTTTTACAAAGTCTAAAAATTTTTAGGTGCTGGATAGCATATATCTTTTAGATTTCTCTGCGAATTGAAAAAATAAAGGATTTGAATTATATGAAACGTATCTCTTTTATCCAATAATATGTTAAGTCTCATTATGAATAAGATAAATCATTTAGTTACCAATTCAAAGAAAACAAGATAATTAGAATAGATTAGGATAACAATATATATGAAACGTATCTCTTTTATCCAATAACATGTTAAGTCTCATTATGAATAAGATAAATCATTTAGTTACCAATTCAAAAAATAGGATAATTAGAATAGATTAGAATAAAAATATAATATTAAAAAAATTAGGGGTAATATGGACCATAGAAAGATTTTCTCGAACTAGTACTTTTAAAGAGAGTATGATGAATGAAAATCTATGATGTTTTATTGTTTAACAAAAAAAATGAAGAGATTAATTATATGCATCAGTATCACGCTTCAATCACAAGGATTTGATAATGCTTCAACTACTCATTCGATGTACTACTTTTAAAGAGGGAACGTTATAAGAATTGATGAGCTGTGATGTTTATCCTCAAACGATGTTTACCGTTTACTTCTCAACTGCTCAATCAATCAAGTACTGCATATGATTTACTGATAGCTATATTGGTAAGAAATGCTCCATTGACTCCCCAATCTTCTCCTGATGATAACTGGTCCAGAATGGTCACATTGATTTGATACGTACAAATTGTATATGCAGGTAAAATATGAGGGGTCTGAGTTCATATTGTCAGAGCTTATTGTTCTTGCTGTGGAGATTTTAATGAAGGTGGGTAGATTACTACTTCCTTCAATTGATATATCGACATTCATAAAGTTACAGTCTTTGGAAAGTCTGCATTTCTAAATGCTTTCTTTTGGATTGTTTTCTAACTGCAGCTATGTACTCTGAGGAATGAAGCTTGGTAACATTTAACGAACCAGGAAGAAATGAACCTTTTTCTGATTTGGGATGTATATTTTCGGTATGGTTGACTTCAAACCCAGTTAATAACTTTACTTTTCTGTCATTCTTATAAACGAATTATACAATGATTTGATCTTAAATCTCACAGCATGTTAGGATTTCAGACACGTATAAGACACACTGCACTATATGCACTTACAGTTGTAGAACACTATCTATTTAATTGATTACATGACTTGACCATCATGAGATTGTTACTATTAGGTACTGATTCTATATCAACACGAAGACGTTTAAATTTTTTGAGGAAAAAATACATCTACTCAGGCGAAATATATGTCTATTTGAGACAGTATTTCTTTGATAGCTGTTTGCCTCTTGCAGACACATTAACAGGTCAAATATTTCTGTTTATAGCTGATGATGAAAAGCCTTTTACTTGTCTTTTTTGAGTGTTCAGGTTAAGTTCTAATCCTTTGAGTCAATACAGAGGCAATAAAGGGATTCAACTAACCTCATTTACCTACAGCTGTATACTTTTTATGGGTGAAGAGAACATAATGATTCAGCTACTTAGCTGACCAATGTACTGTTCCTCATTTAGACAATGTCTAGAGCCTACCACATCTCATGGATATTTTGAAGAAAAATCTGAAGGAGTCTGTTGAGGTGTGGGATATCATAGTGCCATTAGATTCAATTGAGGAAACATCTGTTTAATGTGTAGCTACTAGTCCTCAACAACTTTTTGGCACCTTCAGCTTTTTCCGTATCAATCTACCAACTGTCAATACTGATAAATATCCCTTGAAAAATTTGGTCGATGTGCATCTCACTGGACCTATTTTAATTCGTAAGGCTTCTAAGGTACACTGCTTTTTATGTAATAGCATCTCATCTCATATTACTATGCTTGGAAGAGGAATTTTTAGAATTTTTATGGCTTGGATGGATGTATCATCTGAGGTGAATGTAACATGAATTCTGTTCATGATTATTCCATGCAATTTCAAAAGATGTTTGGATATTTTGTTCAGAAGGGACATTGTCAAATGTTAATAGATACCCATATATCAAAGGTTGTTTTGTGAAACTTACCCTTCCTCAGGCCTTCACCTAGGAATTTTGCAAAATACCCATAGATGACATTAATGAATACCTTTTGCTAGAGCATTAAACTATGCCCCTCAACCCTGATCATAACTTCGGAGTATTGGTGGGGTGGATGGGTCTTTGACATGGCACTAGATCAATTAGGCTTCACCTCCCACCAGCTACAATTTTAAAGCGGATTCAAAGCAAAAAAAAAGGACTTTAAGAAATTTGTACTTGTTGGATCTGGGTGTGTAGCCCAAACTCATCTGCAGGCGAGCTTCTCCAGGCGAGGACGAAGCTCAGGCGAGGGAGAGCTCCAGTCGGCGAGCTCGAGATCTCCGCAGGCGAGCTCGTGAGCGGGCGAGGTCTAGAAGCTGTCGAGCTCGAGCTCAAGCGCTGTAGGCGAGCTCGAGACCTTACAGGCGAGCTTGGGGGCGTTGTAGGCGAGCGAGCGGGATGCAGGCGGGGTCGATCCAAGACTGGCAAGCTCGAGGCAAGCTGGCCAGCTCCTCGAGCGCATGCGAGGCTGTCGACAGTCTGTTGACATCTCAGCGCTAGGGTTTCCCCATAAAAGGGAAACCTAGATCCGAGATCTCGTAGTGTAGGCTTCATCTCCTTCTTCTCGAGATATTTCAGCGGTGATGTTTTTCTCCTCAGCCGATTTTCTTCCGTTCCTTTTCTCCAGATCTCAGAAATTTGAGGGAATCTTTTTGAGGGGAGATTAAAGAGGAGAGATATTTAAGAAGAGGATTTTATTACTGTAGCTACAGCATTAATAATTAGTAATTATTGAGAGATCTCAAGTTTAAGATCTGCTCTTGCTATTGTAATTTCTAGTTGATTAATAAGAAATTTACTGTGTGGCTCCCGAGGACGTAGGCAGTTGCCGAACCTCGTTAAATCTTGTAAGAAATTTACTGTGTGGCTCCCGAGGACGTAGGCAGTTGCCGAACCTCGTTAAATCTTGGTGTATTTTCTCTATACTTACTGTGTGGCTCCCGAGGACGTAGGCAGTTGCCGAACCTCGTTAAATCTTGGTGTATTTTCTCTATACTACGTTTCTGCTGTTTTTGGGTTTTCGGCGTAAAATCCCAACAACACTTTTGCGTGATTCCAAGTTTCGGTCCATAAAGAAGTGTTATATAAAAGTATAAGTTGTATAACCCTCAACCATCGAGTTTTGGTGTAGTGGAAGGGTCCTTTGACACCTTTAAAACACACACTCTCTCTCTCCCCCCTTCTCTATCAGTGCTATCAGACTAACAACCGTCAACATCAGTAATTCTCCACTTAAAAATGCATGTAGTCGTGAGTTTTTGACAACATTTGTACCTCACAGTTGGCATTAATGTTACATTTTTTTCATCAGGGGCTTTATCGGCAGAAACCCACATGAAAAGTGTGTTTTCTGCAATTTAGCGCTTTTTTACACCTGATCTTACTTTATCATCACTACCTTAAAGAGAGATGCATATTTATATCAGCATATTTATATCAGAATTCTTTGCTGAAAATTCACCAAATGAGTTTTGCAATGTTGCTCTTGATGTAAAGATACACCAATGTATCCATGACCACCATAAATTCCTACCTAGATAGGAGGTTTATTAAACAAGATTTCTTCATGTTCGGTCTTATAATCTAGCTCAAGTTTCTATCCTTGTCAAATTAATTATTGAAAAATTAAACTTTGTACATAAATTGCAAAATTCAGTTAGAATGACCATTCTTGCTACATCTGCATCATGTTCATCATGAGACCTTATTGAAAAATTTGTCCATCTTTAGTAAAAGATGACCTGAATCCAAATTACATTTGTCCTTTCACATGGTTAGTTAAGTAATAAACTATCCAGTATCCACAAGGGACAATCCACAAAATTACATTACTGACCCAATTATGGAAAAATAGGACAATACTGGTATACATTTGCCCACCATAGTTGTGGTAAAAGTGCAAAAATACTAGATATGAAAAATTTAACAGCACTACTCCTTGCTTCCATACAACTTGTTCTTGTGTATAACAACCACCTTCTCCTTGTAGCAATACAAAATCACCCCTCCATAAGTCCCCAGCCTGGCCCCATCCAAATCCAAAAGTTTAAGCAAGTAAAAGAAAAAAAAAATCAAACACCACAGAAATAGACAAGTATCTATATCAAATACCAATAATAACATTCAAAATACACTATAATTAAAGTAACAATTATTTATACTTGGATAATAGAGTCCTTTTCTATTCTTTTTTAGAAATGGAGGATGGACCAAGTGTGCAATTTTATGATTGTTGCCAAGATTTTACTGGGTACCTGCGGATCGAATCCTTCCACGGGTTATCCGCGTCCAAACCCGAATCCTTTAATGCCCTCCAAACCAAACTGCAAACCTTAAACCCTGTCCCAAAAGCCAACATCCAAACCCTATCCCCTTTCTTTATCCTCTTCTTAGCCTCAAAATAAGCTAACTCATAAAACACCAGACTACTTGAAGTGTTACCAAACCTATGCAAGCACATTCGGGCGGGTTCGGTCACATCCGACCCGAACCGCATCAGCTGCCCGACCGATTCGATAACCGCCTTCCCGCCTGTGTGAATGCACACGTGCTCGAATGCCGTAGTGAAGTCGGGTACATACGGCTTATCGGATTCAGATCCGATTACCATCCGATAGGCGTAGTAAACAAGTTCAGCCCACGGTAGGACCCACGGGGCGAGGGTTCGGATGTGGGTCTTCAGACCCTTGCCTGCGACCCGAACCAGATCCTTCTTCAATGCAACTCCTACGTTGCCGTCCTCATCCTCAGCTTGATAAGCTGCATTATATGATGCATCATCTGACCCGGTATGAGTCCGAAGAGACCGAACCAATTCAAACTTGGCTCGAGCCCGACATTTGGGGTCATTAGTTACAATGGCCGAGGCTGTCCCGACTCGAAATATGCAGTTAGTGACCAACATTGAACGGTCATCACCGAAATACCAACTCAGACTTATGCTCTCGGTTATCACCACAAGAATGTATCTGATCATTCTCGACCCGTTAAGGATCCGGTAAGCGAGGTCGATGGAGGCAGCGCCAGAGCTACACCCCATACCGGAGAGGTTATACGTCTTTATATCGGGCGACATTTTGTAATGTTCGACGATATGGGAGGTGAGCGAGGGGGCGGGGGTAAACGTGCCACATGTGACAACAAGGGTATCGATGATGGACATGTTAAGTTTGGTTTTGGCGAGGAGGGAGTCGACGGAGGTGATGATACCCTCCTCTGCCTCCTGCACTGCTGACGCATGTTTGGCCTCGTAGTCTTGTTCGAAGATGAAGGGTGGGGCATATGTCTCGTCGCCTAGGCCGGACTTCCGGAAGATTCCTTTCATGAATTCTTCGGATTTCTCGGTGAACCGGTTGGAGCGGCGGATGAAGTATTCGGCGACCTCGAACGGGCATTTTCGATCGTGGTCGGGCAAAAAACACGAAAAGTCGAGGAGGAACACGGGGCGCGGGCGTGTCAGAACGTAAGAGAGGACTGAGACAAGGGACACGTAGAGTACGAAGAGCATGAGGGGTTTGTGGTTGGTGATGGAGGAGGAGAGGAGGTAGTGAAGGGCTAGGGTTAGGGTTAGGAGGAGGAAGAACGTGGCTTTAAGAAGTTGGACTTGGGTTAGGTTTTTGAAGGGAGCCATTGGTTATGTTGCTGTTGGTGTTGTGTTGGTTTGTGAGAGGGTAAAGGGGAGAGTGAATTGTTGTATTTATATTGAGGTTTAGGTATTTGTAGGGTTTTTTGTTTTTTGTTCTGCGGGGTGGGGGGCTACATGTGCATTGAAGTGATATAGGTTGGGGGATTCTTGATTAATTGACCTACTTGCATGACTAACAAAGAGGAGACACTAAAGAGGGAAAAGTTAACGGTTGGAGAGAGTAGAAGACTGTTGGCATTGAGTCTCTCTCTTTCTGTGATATTTGACAACATTAAAGAAGGATGGGAAATTGAGTACTCTAGGGAAATGAGGAAGGTGGG